TCTAAGGGCTGAATTATACCCCAATTCCTGCATCTTTTCAGCGGGAAGAAACTAGTCGTGGGAAGACCAAAGACTCACTCTCTCTCAGTTTTGCCTTCCACACGGTCGCGTCAGACTCGAGCTCAACCAAAGACAAGGTGAAGTCGTCGGGTTTCTCCAAATAGACTTCGATGTAGCTTTTTAGTTTCAAGAGAGATCCATCAACAAATTCAATTTCCTATACAATGTAAAAATAGGTTAAAATAAACGTTTATCCAAATCATAAATTAAACAGGAGGTATTTGGCTGTTGGCACAGACCTGAGCCCGGTTACAATCTCCCCAGAGTTTTCCTGTTGACTTTAGCGTCAGGATTTCATCCCAAAATTTTAGGGCTCTAAGAGGCAAATGCTTTCTGCAGCCACGGCAAATGAATGTAAAAAATGCCCTTAATGCCAGTGCAGGAACATGCAAAAAAAGCCATTTTGGACCACGTTTCTAATCAAGCTGCAAGGCACGAAATGAGGCTTGGGCAGGGACTCACCTCTGGAGTTATTTCAGCTTCTGGCTCACACACTAATCTATACCTCTTTCCTTTCTGAAGTAATTTTTGGCATACAGGGGGCTTGTCAATTTTAATGAATTTCTTATTTGAATGTTTTACGGCTCTTGAGATATCCTAAAATTGAAAAATATGATTTAAAAGTTATTCGCCTCAGTAAAGGAATTAACATTTAAAACCCGTGTTAATGCGGCTCCTTGGGCTTTTCTCTGGCCCCAGCTCTACAGACCGGCCGCGACCTGTTCCACGCGGCAAACTTTACAGAAAGCTGTGCACTAAACACCACCCTCGAAAACCACCGAATAAACTTCTGCAGCTATCGCGCTACACGGGTGCCATCAGATAGAAGAGTTTGCAACCCCAGTAGAAGGAAGGTTCTTTGTTGCTGACCTCTCCTAGCCTTTGCCTGCCCGTCGTAGCGGGGAATGGGTGAGAGCACAAGAAGCTCTTTCAGGTACAAATCCTGAGCTCCACGGATTTTGGTGGAAAACGGGTTTCTGATGTATTTCTCCTCTATTGCAGCTTGTGAGCGAGCATGTGGGCTGGTATAATTCCTTAAATATCATATCCTAACTTGGCAGACCTTTTCAGTATGGAATTCTCATTATATATATATACACACACACACGTGTATATATCCAGAGCTTTGCGTGCAAACACTGGGGTGAGAGAAGAGCATCTCTTCGCCATACCCCGTCCCGAACATAACATCCCCGTAACCAACCCTGCTTCCCCCCCCCCCCCCCCGACGGGAGCCACACCTTTACAAAGGAGTCGTTGTTTGTAGCCACGTAGACCCGAAAGGATAAGGAGGGATGCTCATCCACGACTTTGTAGAGGATGACGGCGCCGTGGTACTGCACCGGCTCCTGGCTCTGGATGAGCGGTCCCACCGGCGAGAGCGAG